GCCTCAGCTGCTGAAGTCTTCTCTGCTCCTCTCCTCCCACACAGAACCAGGTTTAAAGCTGGTTTTATCTGCTCAGATGTTGGTCTCATGATTAAACCAGCGTCTTCAGATTCATCACAGCTCAGAAGTTCTCTGTCGTTCTCTTTTACGATTTGACCCAGACGTGTCAGCAGCTCTGAACATTCCAGGTTCTTCTGAAACAAGTATCTGTATCTGCACTCTATGATCAGGTCTCTGAAGGACGGCTGGTTCAGGAAGTTGTCAAATGAGCTCACCTGTCTGGATGCTGATATCAGAACCAGTGATCGATCAAATGATTGATGACTGAATTGCTTCAGGACTCTGCAGAGCCTCAGTCTGTGTTCCTCAGTGAAGTCTTCAGGCTGTAGAACCAGCAGGAACACATGAGGTCCAGGATCAGAGAGTCTCACACAGAGTTCTACATGTTCTCTTAGTTTGTCTTCAGAGATGTGTGGACTCAGCAGATCTGGAGTGTTGATCAGAACTATTTCTTTGTCCTTCAGTCGTCCTCTGACTGTCACAAAGTCTGGTTGTTCCTCAGTGTTGAACTTGTTCTCTCCCAGTATGAGGTTTCCAGCAGAACTCCTGTCAGACCAGCTGTTCCCCAGAAGAACAACCAACATCTCAGACACTAAAGAAAACACAGAGTTAGAACAAAAGTTTTCATTCAAAACATGATGTAAGTTAGTTTTCAAGATTCTAGATGTTATTATACAGAGCAGCTCTTATCCAGTTTAACTTACTGTTCGGTGGCAGGATGTTGTAGCTGCTGCTGCGCTTCTGTGGCTGCAGAACATCGGTCACTGTTAGAAATACACATGAATGTTAATTCATTCAGATGTTATCTGGATATTAATTACACTGACAATGTGTCCTGAAGGACCATCTCTTCTTTTACATCACTATTATAGCGGCGCTTTAATTGCTTGTTAGGGTTTTTGTCAAAGTTAGTTTGCAGTGTTGTATAAGTAGAGTTTTTGCTATCACTATATATATTCTTTGTATTTACACAGGCACTGACAAGAAAACCAATAAATTATGAAGAAAAGGCTCAATAACTCTGGACTAGAGTTCACCAGAAGAGATGTGGGAGACTCTGAAGTCAACTGGAAGAAGGTTCTTTGGTCTGAGGAGACCAAAATGGAACTTTTAGATGCTATGTTTGGTGGATGCCAAACACTGAACATCATCACAAACACAATATCCCCACTGTGAGGCATGG